GGCAACAGAAGGGATCAAACCACAAACCTCTCATATATTAAGCAATCACTTAACCGACTGTTTTACTGTGGATGTGACCGCAACATATACTTTAAGCTGGTTTCACTTTTTCAAACACTAGTTATATATACTCCATATTAATTCTCGTAAACTACACGGACACAACCAAAGTGTGATCGAATATTTAAACAGTGATATAATGTATTCATAATTGACAGGTCAATAAAACTAGACTAAAACCAAAAATTAATGATTAACTACGGAATTAAGAATATATTTGTTTTTTCCCCAGCTAATCCGTAGGTACAAAGAAACTGTTACAGCTTCGAAACTAAGCGATGCAGGTTGACTAATCTATTGCGACGGTGCACCGTGAAGCTATACCAGTAAAAGTTGTATCTTATGGATTAGCTGGGAAAAAACCTACATCTGACGAGTTCCGTTTAACGTCTTTTAATCAGGAAATGTCTTCGTTTCCAAAGAGCATTCAGGTGATTATGAACCAAACAAGGAAAACGAACTTCACAATGTGAAAAACACTGAAAATATTAAACTGTAAATACATATCAGGGAGGTAACTCTAGCATTTGTTTTTACTGTCACTCTCAAATCTGATAAGAAGTTGTATCCCTTACACTATTACAAGGTGCAGAATATGGCTGATTTACCAGGCTTTAAATCCGGAACAGTCTGGTTAAAGATTTATGGATTTTTGATATCAAAATACAAGGGCTTGGTCAGAATTCACTGAAGTAGACTGGACTGGCTCAATACCAGGCTGCATGCCTCCAGATGAGCCAAAATATTTTTAAAAAAAAATCAAACTTGATAAAAATGTGCTTAGATGTAAAGAAAAGTAAAAACATTCAAGATTCAAGTAATGATTTACATGTTATGTGTAATTAATAACTGATTTTGCAGACCGTATTGTCATATTTCTCCTGCGTGATTAACGCAGTAAGGGTTGTTTCTGCATAAGTTGACATTTTACCCTTTGGTTAATTTAAGTGCTGCTTGAAATGTGTAACTCGTTTCCTTTGATCACTTCACTATACTTCACTTTTGAATACCTTTAAAAATTTTCATGAAAATTCACATGAATATGAAGGCAAGCTGCTCTAATATGAAACATTGAAAAACAAATCATGTGACAAAAATCAAAAGTGACAAAGAAAACACGACAAAGTGATCATTTTGTTGTAATTTCGTTATTTTACTTGTCGCTTCGCGGGGTAATGATATCACGAAAATACGATGCCAGGCAAAAAACTAATTAACTTACGACAATGTGATCACTTGTTACTTTGTCGTATTTCATTTTGCGCCCCGCGGTGCAAAAATACGACAAATCCCTCATTAAACCTTTGGTAAAAAACCCCAAAAAAGTGAATGTGACGAAAAAGCGAAAATACGATCGCGACATGGCGTAAATCAGCCACCATACATTCATGTGATGTGAAGGGAACGACAACTCTGTATTGAAGATTGAGTGCTCTTCTAATTATTTTCCGATATACAGCTTGACTTTCAAATTATTATTTTGTATTTAGTATCATTTACACCATATTATGCACGGACTATATTCATATAGGCTCGCGACTGTATTTCTTCATGTGGCACCAGCACTAGTACTGGCTACTTCAAGAAAGAGCACTCTAGATAATATGTTTTGTAAAATATCATATAAGTCGTGTTAAAGTTAAATAGCTCTTTTTTTTTATTTATAAACAAAACCCATGGGCCTTAGGGGCATAAAAGTGAATAATAAATAATAATACAAACATGGCATAGAAGTAAATAAGGAAGATGACTTTATGAAATTTCAGCATAATTGCTTTAACAAACTAAAGTATTTCTGTCTTCACCTGGAAATTTAAAATACTTGGAAACCTGAAATAGTAACTACTGATATACTCGTGTCTTGTATGAGTAAATTAACTACATAAAAAATATAGTGAAATTCATCACCTATTTCTCGCTGGTTACAAAGTGAGCAGATTCTATTTTCTCTTTCGATACATAAATAGCGACCTTTGTACATCTAAATTCACAAATGGTAAATGCTAGATTTCTTGATAAACATAGTAAATAATGTTGTTATTTAAATTAAGTTTTATGCGTTATATAATTTAGATACTAAACAGAATTGGAAAACAATACTATTCCATACTTGTGTAAAAACTGATAACCATATTACGTACCGACCGACCGACCGACCGACAACAAACAAACAAACAAACAAACAAACAAACCAATCAACCAGTATAGCGATCTTTCGAATCAAAATTCGACCTGACCTTTTCTGTAACTGGCATCACTAGTTTACTGTAGTTTAAGCCATGAGATTTTATCTATTGGTTATGTAGTATCTATTATACAATCGTTTGAATTTGAACAGTCCATGTGACTTTAAAGGAACAAAACGATGGCTTATAGTTCAAGTAGGTAATTTTAGAGTTACATTTGTCAAAAAGAAAAAATAAATAAATAAAATAAGACAATTTTTTTTTTTTTTTATTTTGTGTTGTTGTTTTCAAAATTGGTTTTGGAAGGTGCGTGTCCTTGTTAAATGTTTTTTATATTATTATATAACACTGGGCCAAGTGTTTGTTTTCTGTGGTGTTGCCCGTATTCTTTTTAGCACTTATCTTTTTCAGACAGTAACAATTGATTTCCATGAGGTAATTAAGTGTTAAAGTGTTAAAATCTAATTTTTAAAATATAATATTAATTGTGCATCCTTCTTATAACTTCTTTTTAATGCTTTGTTAGCCTTCCCATTGCATGTACTGTTTTCAATGTTACTTTTAGTATGCCTTGACACTACTTGTTCTTGTATTGGTTTAAAATGTTGTATGACTTCGCAATACAATGAAGTTATTTTAGCTCTTCAACGCATTTTCTAAAGATTACGTTTTTTCTTTTGTTTCGTTTTCTCTTACATTGCTTCTTCTGTAGAGTTCGTTAATTTAGTTTTATCTCTCCGTTTGAGTGTTTGCCAATCAGTTTTCTTGTTTCTGTTTTTCCCACACATTTCTTTCTTTCATTATTAGTGTCATATGGCGTTTGTCCTTTACATTTGTTTTTGTTTCATCATTGGTGTCCGATTGGTTTGTCCTTCACATTTCCTATGTTTCCCTTTATTGATGCCCGATGAGTTTTTTTCCTTCACATGTATGCCTTTTGTTTATCATTACTGATGTTATTTGGCATTTGTCCTTCACATTTAATTTTCATTATTGGTGTGAAATAGTGTTTCTCTTGAACACTATTTTTGTTTTTCATTATTGATCTTACATGATGTTTGTGATGTTTGTCATTTACATACCCTTTGTTCTTAAGTTGATTTTCTGAAAGAAAATGCTGATTGGAGAGATGTACACGAAATTCAGCCATTTTTACAGATGTTTGTGCCTTTGCAAACATAGTAGAGTAAATATAATTGTATTATGTTAGGGGAAAGTTATCGCAACTTTTCGGCCTTTTCCGACCAGTCTTCGGATAAGTTATTAAAGATAATAGCCAAGATGTCCCCGATTTGAAGAGGAAAGTTGGCCGTTTTTAGAACGTTTTTTTCATTAATTATGCAAAGTAGCCAGAGGAATAATTCCGTGTGGCAAAATGTTATCCCACATTATTGAAAGGATTTTACCTATTGTTATATAACCTGGTTTTGTGAATAGTATTACTCTTGCTCTTTTGTGAACCGGTTTAGATGGCGGACTGTCCTTCAAGCTCTTGAAAATTTCCCATTTCCCTATTTTTTAAATTTTTACTTTGCCATTCACATTTCATCTTTAGCCCATAGTTCATTACAAATTAATTCTTATTATTCTTCTAGTTTATTTAAAAATACATTGCAACATTATAATGTAACATTATTATCTGTTCCAGAATGGTTTTAATATTCCCGGTACTTAAATGTGACATGGAGACAGCTCGTCTCGGACTGTCGACAGTCAAGCATGCGCATGTGGATGGAAAAAAGCAAACCGGGGACCTATTGTAATTCTAGCATTGGCGAAAACCAGCATGCCCAAAATATTTGGAATGTTGCGCGTAAGTTTTGACTGTCGAATTGCCAAATTTAAAAAGAATGTTCGTTTAAAGAAAATTAGTCGGGCATAATTAGAAGTTATTTGGGCTTATTGTTCAATCTAATCAAATAATCAGGGTACAAAACCCCGATGGGACATGATTATCTCTTATAGGTTACATTCGCTTTAATTTGATTTTGTAAATCTTTCGTTTTGCCAGTATAAAATACGTGTTTTTAAATTTGCCATTTCAAATAATGTTGATATGCTTTGTTTGAAACCTTGTAAATTCGTCATACAGCAAAGTGGTCACGGTTTAGAACTGTTCACTGAGATTATAAGCGGCCGGATAGATCCGGTTTACAGCTACCGGAATGGCTTTTTTTCAAGGAGAGTCCTGTCTATTGTCCCGGTCGACTGTACTTATTTTTTCACACCCTGTGAACACTAATCCCTTTTTGTACAATGTATCTCATTCTCATGCGTCAATGACTTGTTGCCTTTTTTTTCAAGACGCCATGTCATCAAATCCGTTGAACCATAAAATTTTAATCTTTCACTTATTTCTATTTATAAGCGCTTGAATTTCACTTGCAAAGATCTCGTGCCAAGAATATTTCACAATGCCATAAATGGTAAACCACTTGTGAACCAAAACCAGGTTGATATTTTCCTCCGATTGGGTTATTTTTTTCCCCTTGATTTTTAAAGCAATACTCAAACGTGTCTTTTTAATTCTCAAAGTAATAATCGGCGTTCTAAGTGAGAGTTAATGTATTTTTAAAATAAACAATTGCAAAAATCATTTCTAGAATTTTAAAAAAACTGAAACCATGATATAACATTAAATACTTTTCTTCAGCATTACTTTAATACAACTTACAACATCAAATCTTAAGAGTGTTGTTAAAATTATTGTTGTACATGGTGGTTTATCATTTTCAGGCGTGCTAACACCGCGGAATTTTCGACTTTGATCGTAGCCATGGTTTTCGCTGGAGGATGTATATCGAAAGAGGTATGTATTATATTTCACGAATATTACATGTAATGCAAATCCGTGATATATTAGAGAAAAAATCAAAGCGCTGAGAGCACTGCACTATAACAAATATCATATACGGAGAAAACATATGACGGGACGAAAGAGTCGCGAGGGATTGTACAGAGAATACATAAACTCTATAAAAATAAGGATACGTTATTTTGTGGGAAGGAAAATGTATTTGATAGTGTACCTTATACCTTTTCGGCAGTATATAACAGGACAATAGTTACGAAACCAGACTTAGGGAATTAAGCCTTGTTTTGAAATGTTCTGACGCTGATAACAGGAGATCACTTTGTTTTCTGTAATTATTATATATTTAATACTATTTCATTAAACCAAATGTCACTTACATAAATTAAATTCAAAATTGAAAGATTGGTATGCACGTGCTTCTTTCATTATTCTTGTGCAAGCCCTTAGTTAGGTAATTAGGCTGGTATGAAAATTGCATGTTTGTGTTAACCGGTAAATAAAATAATTCCGCTTCTTTAAAACGCTGACAAACATACGACAAGAAGTCATTTAATTCATTTTTTTTAACAAATAAAAGTTGTTTGTAATTGGGTGTTGCGCTGATTCTGTCTTAAAAGCATCATTCTGTTTTATATAAGGTGCAACCTTCTGCAATTTTTGTTTTACTACAGCATTTTTGTGAGTTTTTTTCCATTGTACAGATGTGTATCCCACATAGAGGAGAGTTGTTTGGCAGGAGCTCGAGCGCTGTTCAGACACAATGTTGTGATACAGACAGGTGTAATGGGCGTGTGTACAGTTTAAAACATTATCATCAACTTTTTATTTCACGTTCGTCGGCATAGTTTGGTTTTTTACATGTAGATGCCTTTACTTTTGCTATATTATTTTTGTGACGTAAATTTATTTGAATCATTTTCGACAAGAAACATAATTCTTGAAGACCAAGAGATGCCGGATGTGTGTGTATGACGGTGTAAAGATTGTAAAGCATATGTTTGAACTGACAAGATTAGAAAAAAAAATGAACAGAACTAGAAACTATTTTCATTTACAGAAAGAGTTAATGATTTTATCTGGACAGCATGATAGAACACCCTCGTCCACGTATTAGTTCTGAAATATCCTTTTTTAATTATGTTAAACAGAGTCGTTCTGCCTTTTCAAAACTTTAAATTTAAGTGAACAAATATCATTTTTTTATTTGCTATTTAGCATCTACAACAACAACAACCCACCACCACCACCACACGTATTACCCAACTACACTAGGCCTACAACAACTAAACCGTCCACGCATGCGCATAGCGGTTATTGCGTTGACGCGCTCCCGCAGCTGTGTCAAAGCCATGTTAATTTTGCGTGCGTCGCTTTTGGTCCTGAATGTAGATTCACATGTGGAAAATGCTGTAAGCCGCTTTTTTTTCTAAAATAGAAATTAAAATGCGATGTTTCGACTTTTTGCTTACTTTATTATTTCTCATATATGTGTATATTTTTATGTAACGAAGTTTGAATAGATCATGTTCTCAAATACATACTAGTCCTTTATAAAGATAAATTACAATAGAAATTCACTAAAATATCTATACTTTATCTTATTTTATATTTCAGAAATGCGTGAAGAATAAAGATAAAATGTATTTTAATATGTCCCATTTCTTCATTGCTTATAAAAAAACAATAAAAATGATACATATAAATGACTTATGTAATAATATTGTGACCACAAAACGGAAAGTTGATGAGTATATGCAATGATGGCCTTTAAAAAACTAGTTACGTAACCAGTTAATTAACTTAAATAACTAGATAATTAAGAGGTTAACTAGTTACGTAACTAGTTAACCTCCTAATTAATTATTTAGTAAAGAGGTTAGCTAGTTACGTAACTAGTTAATCACTTATCTAACTAGTAAATTAAGAGGTTAAATAGTTACGTAACTAGTTAACCTCTTCATTAATTAGCTAGATAAGAGGTGAACTAGTTACGTAAGTAGTTAACATCTTCATAAATTAGTTAGTTAAGTGGTTAACTACTTACGTAACTAGTTAACCACTTAATATTAAGCTGGTTAAATAATAAAAGGATGGCAGTTGTAGGCACTTAGGTAGTTACGTAACTAGTTAACTTCTTAATTAACTAGTAAGTTAAGTGATTTATTAGTTACGTAACTAGTTAATCACTTAAATAACTAGTTAGTTTAGTGGTTGATAAATTACATAACTAGTTAACCACTTAATATATAGCTGGTAAAATAATAAAAGGATGGCAGTTGTAGGCACTAACATGCATTTATAACCCGTTATGATCTTTTATTTATTGAAAAAATTAACAAGTTACGTAACTAGTTTATCACAAAATTAACTAGTTACATGTAATTAAGAGGTTAACTACTTACGCAACTAGATAACCTCTTAATTAACTAGTTAGGTATATGGTTATCTGGTGGCAGAAATATGCCACCATAATATTCATTGTGCGCAGTGATAATTCTTAAAATTTTACTTTTTGTCGTGATATCGATGAGTTTCCTGTTTGGCTAGACAATTTCTTCTGAAACGTTAAAAATGGGAAAAATAGTATCTGCAGGAGTAAGGAATGGTCTGAAAATTGGCACTCAAAATGCTGGTTCAGACCTACAACAATCTGAAAAATAACCTTTCTAGTCTCGTCATGTGTTGAGTCCCTTTAAAACGGCACGCCTCCAGATAAGCCAAAATATTTCAAGAAATTTAATCTTTAGGAAAATGTATTAAGATCTTAAGAAAAGTAAAAAAGATTTAATATTTAATTAATTATTTACATGTTATGTGCGATGAATGACTGATTTTGCATTATCAATCACTATAATTCCACTGCGTTACTAACGCAGTAAGATGTATTTATGTATATTTTGACATCTTTTTGTAATGTACCGTGATTATAAGTGCCGTTTACAATGTGTAAATTACTGATTTCGTTCACTTTACAATATTTTACTTTGAAATACATTTTCAAAATTTTCAGGAAAATAAGCATGAATCCTGAGGGATGCTGCTTTAAATAGAAATATAGAAATGCAGTATGAGACGGACCTGTTTTACAATAATTGTAAAGTGATGACTGAAACATCACGAATTAAAATCATGGATGGAAATTAACGATGAAGAGTATAAAAGTTTACTGAAATAAACTTTTATCAAACTAGATCTATATAAATATAATGCTAAGTTTTTCAAATTTCAAGTTATAAGAATCTAATTATAGATTGAAATTTGAGCTATTTTTGCAGATCTACTTGTCATAAAATAGGTCATTTAATGAACTCCACATTTTTATCTTAGAGAGATTATGACATTTTACTCATAGTTCCATATTTTGAAACTTAGTAGGAATTATAATGATTCCAGGTTTGGAATTTTTGTGTGTTTATTTGAATCAAACAATTTATTTCATAATCATATAAAATGTTTTTATTTACCAGCTCTTGAAAATGAACTAGAAAGAGACAAAAACAACAAACAAATTCATTTTCAGAGTTGGATAACTAAGCTAGTAGGATAGGAGAATCCTTTTTCTTTATGATTTTCTTTCATTGTTCAACGTTCAAGAGCATTCTCTGGTCAAGTTTGACTTTTCTTGTTTTTGCCAATATAAAAAAATACCACACTGTAGAGGCTATCTTTAAAGGCCCATTATGCCATACAATGCTTTGCTTTCATTTCACACAGCTTTTTTGTTATCTTTGATATCCTGTAATTGTTTCCAAAACGCTACTCATTGGCCTGATACCTATAACAATCTTTTACATCTGTAACATTTTAATAATGATAAAATATGTATTTATTTACATTTTGCTACATTAATGACATGAAGATAATTTCATATTCACTGGCTTCAAGAGATAAACATCTAAAGTGCCCAAAAACCATTATTGAAACGTTAAAAAACTTATGTTTGCCTTTTCGAAAGAAATGAATAA